TGCCGAAGGAACCCTGCGTCAAGCAACTTTTTAACTTCGGCGGCTGCCGCCTGACTCCTCTCTTCGCCATGGTTCCGCTTCTTCTGCCTTACCGGCTTTTTCTTCGGATCCACGGCCAGTTTATGTACCGCCAGGTCTGGACTGATGCCTGGCATTTCATGAACTTCGAATGCAAAGATGTCTTTGTATTCTTTCCAAAGTTGATGAAAATCTTCACCCAGAACTCTAAGAGCAGTCGTCCCAACTTTGACTGTTCGTTCAGGGCATGAGTCGTCCAAGATCAGGTTCATATGCTCACCAGCCGGCTGAGGGCGGAATTCGTCTGACCGCTCCTCTGTCAGTGATTGCTATCTTTTTTCTTTTCTTGCGGCCCCCAACTGGGCAGCCTTTCTTTTCTTGTCGCCTGCTTCTTGAGCAGGCGCATCCTTCTTGACAACGTCACGGTCTGTTTTTTCACCACTTGACCCAGCGGCCATGACAGTGGGTTTGATATCCGAGAGGTAGCACTCTCGGGCCATCTTCTAATCTCCCCTTAGGGAGCCGACTGTTCCATCATCCTTCTCAAATTTGAGCAACATGAGAGATAGGATAATGATAGCTTTTGAATTATTTAGGGTAGGTCATCCCAGAATCATGTTGTAGGCCGAGAGTTCCTCAACTACCAGGAACCGGACCACCATGTGGCGACCCTCCCCCTTTTCACCCAGACGAATGGGTAAGTCCACTCGCCCTACAGGGTGGACTCCTCCTCCTCCAAATCCTACTAGAGGGTGGGATACCGGATGTATACAATCAACCTTATATTTGAGCTTTGACAGACATTTGCTACTGATAAGGTCGGAGGAACTTCCGGTATCTATGAGGATTCGACCAACTCTTTGGTTGGCCACTTTGCATTCAATAACAAAGGGGTCGTCATGCGGCCCCCTCACCCCTCCTAAATCTGCTACTGATAAGGGGAATGAATTTTTGGAGGGTCGTTCTTGGTGAACAGAATTCACGTCTAACCGCCTGATATTGTCTTTGTTTCCCCTGATAGTGTGGCCGCCTCTTGAGAAGCCGCCTGCAATTGTGCAGACAACTGCATCATCTGTACCAAAACTGTCGGCCTGTTGGTTCTTTTTGGCCGACTGCTTATTCTTTGAGGAAGTATTCCCCTTGGACTTCTTGACATAGGAGTTAAGGTCGCCTTGTTCAGCCAGGCGGTCTAGGAAACGCATGAGACTAATGCATTCGTTGGTTTCATGACCAACATCTTCATGATAATGACAGAACTTATCTTGATTTCGGTTGCTCGTAGAACCCTTCATGGGGGCCAGCTTCTCAATTGAGATCTGTCCCTTGATTTCTTTGAGGATAGCTTGGCTATACTTGTTGAACGCATACTTTGGAGAGTATGGTTTGAACTCTTTCTTCTTCTTTTGGGTCGGCCGATTAGAGGAATCAACCGCCTAAACCTCTTTTCTCTTCTTATCATCTTTGTTGGCCGACTGCTTTGGTCGGCCTTCTCTCTTGTCAGACCTCCTTCCGTCCGACTGCTTTCCAGTATTACAGAGATCAGTCGCCTGTATATAGGCTTCTGCTTCAATCAAGGCCTCTTGAAGAGTCGCAATCCTCTTTCGAACCAAGTCAAACTTGAAGGTCGACCCGTCCTTGAGACCTCTGAAAAAGTCAGTATAGGCCACCTCATCCGGTAGCCCTTGGATCTGTATCCTCATCAGGTTGAACCGCCTGATGTAAGAACGGAGCCCCTCCTTCTCGCCTTGCTGAATCGTCCCTAAATCAAGAGTCGTCTTCTTTGCAGGTATGTTCATGGCAAAATTGGAGGTGAATAAGTAAGCAAGCGTCCTGAAGTTGTTCACACAACCAGTCGGCAGGTTGCCGAACCATTGTTGTGCGATTCCTTTAAGAGTTGTTGGGAAACACTTGCACCAAGTGGGATCATCCAACCCTTGGAGGTACATTAGGTTGGTGAACGCCATAAAATGGTCTTCAGGATTAGTAGTGCCGTCATAGGCGCCTACTAACACATTTTTAACTTTGGCCGGCTGAGCGGCTTCAGTAATTTCCTTGGAGAAAGCCGACGGCTGTTCTCCAAGTCTAAGCAACCATAGCTGCCAGTCCAAAGGTTGGACATTTTTTGCCGCCTGTCCTCCAAACAGAGGTGGTTGCAGAAAGTATTGTTGTTGCGGTATAACTGGTAAGTTTGGTACCGCCTGGTCGTTATGGAAACCAGACCGACGGGAGGTACCGTCTGTCTGGCTCTCATGATTTGACTGAGTATACCTCATAGAGGTATTGCGCAGACTATCTTGAAAATCTGAAGTAGAGGCCGACTCTAACAGTCGGTCGTTCTTCTTTTGCACTAGCAAAGTCGAGCGTCTGTGTATGTTTTCCTTGACCCGTCCGCCTGTATATGACGAACGGGCTTCCTCTTTCCTGGTGTGGGAAAGCGATACTTTGTGAAATCAAGCACAGGCGGCTCCCACTTCCTAGAGTTAGGATGAGGGGTCGCCTCTCGTCCTCGAACAGGCTTCCTCTTCCATGAAGAGGAAGGTTTCCTAGCCGACTGCTCCTTGGCCAGAGCAGGCGTCTTTTTTTTTATCAGTTCCTGAATCTCTCCCTTGAAGCCCCTCATGAAGGTCATGAGTTCGTTTCTTGTAATGGGAGCATATCCTTCAGCCGCCTGCTGCTGATCAGGCGGTGCGCCGAATGGATCACTAAGTCCAGTTTGATGATCTTCCCGTTCTCTCCTTTCGGTGTGACGGGTACGTCGGGCCCTTAGGGTCCTGTCTGAGGCTGTGTGCGCTTCAACTTCAACCTCATTTTCGGTATCATAATCTGAGTGAACTTGAGGGTCGTCCAGGGGACGCCTCTCTTCTGGAGTCGGTACAAACGTAGATGCCATCTCAAAAGTACTCTCCCCACAGATGGCGCCAAAATGTTTCGGGGTTTTCTGATGTCCTGCGGGAGAGTTACAATTCTGAGACTGGCACCGGACGCCTGCACCTGCAAAACAAACGGAGACTCCGAGAGATTGGAGTTCCGCCTCCAACGGTCAAGTTAGCACTTGTGTAAGGAGTAATTAATGCGGAAGTAATGTAAATGAGTCTCTCTAGGTGAGAGTGTTTAATGTGCGTAATCCCCTTTAATGAGGATTAATGAAGGTATTTATAACCTTGGGATGCGTGCCAATTCCTAGGTTTAGGTTAAACCTAAGGCTGACTGGGCTTTCCCTATGGATTGGGCCTTGTTGGCCGATTATCCCATGTGTCATGGGGTGGACACGTGTCGTGTCGCAATTGGTCCACGGTGGACGGATCACTGATTGACACGTGGCAGACTCCTATTGGCCCATGTGAAAGACACATGGCAGAACCTGGTTGGACCATTTGTCAGATAGTGATTGGTGGCAAAAATCCCTTAATCAACAGTCATGTGAAATTTGTTAGATTCGTCTCAATTTTTAGTCTTCAAATATGCATTGCTAATTTTTTTTTTGTACATGCTACGTGAAATTTAACTTTGATTAGAAAATCCCTCCATTTTTAAATAAATAAATGACTTTGATTGCAGGTATTTAAAAGCATAACTTTGACTTTAATATCTTTTATTGTATATTAGTAAGAATTTATAAAAAATAGTTGATATATGAAAATATGCATTATAACTAATCTAATAGCATAATTAAATAATACAAAGTAGCATTTACATTCATATATGATAACTAAGGTAGCTAATGCGCGCATATAGCTAGATATGTTGGAGAATTTCTTTTAGCTTGGTATGTTAGTTGGTGGCAACATTAATTAGAGAAAATATGTAAACAAAATTTTTTAAGGGTACACATTATTTTTTAAGAGTTCAATAAAAGAGTCAAATAACACTAATAAGGAAAATAAGTAGATAAACATTTTAAAGGGTATAATTGCCCAAACAATATTTATAAGAGTTATCTTTGAAATATCAAGTTTATACTACCTTCGTCCCAGAATAACTGACACGTTGAAATTTTTTTACTATTCGTTTATTGTCTTTAACTATAGTTTTTAGCTAGCCTTTACTGACTACTAATTGACAGCTACTCGCTAATCTAATAGTTATCCGTTACTCGACCACTAAAAGCTACCGCTAAATTTGCCAAATATGACCACTAAAGCTACTGCTAATTTTGCCAAATATGTCTAAAAACTAATGTGGTCAGGAAAAAAAAAAAAAACTAAAATTCTCTTTGTTCTCTCTCTTCTAACCTAGCCACCATAGTAAAACTTAGAGGCTGCCATCGATTTTTATCGATGGTAAGCCCCAAATTCTTCTTTAATTTAATGTTTTTAGCCAATAAAGATCACCAACAATATGATTATTATAGTCAGTCCTTCCATTTAGGGTTTAGTCAGTCCCTCCATGTAGGGTTTAGTATTGTTTGTTTGTTTGTTTTTAGTGTGTGTAGGGATACTAATTTGGAAGATTCGTCTAACAAATTTGTAGAATTGCGGGTCTGTTGGTATATGAGTGTAGATTTAGAAGATTCGCCTTGCAAATTTGCAGATCTTGATAACCAATCAAGTTTTATTACTTTTGCGATTATACATCAATGGAGCTCCGTCAGGAACGATTCAAAGACATCTAAAATTATCCAGGAGCAGTTCAGAAGCGATGCCATTACTTTAGGGGTGTTTAATTCTTGTATTGAGAATTTAGATCCCTTAAGGGATAATTGTAAGTGCCAAATGACTATTATTATTTAATGAAATCACCCCTCTTTATTCCATTCAAAAAAAAAAAAAAAAAAAAAAAACACACACACACACATCCACACAGTTGGCTGTTGTACCCCGTATGACACTAGGACCGTAGTAGTATCCGTAATGAGCAAACGGGCAAAACTTGAAAAAACAAAAAAAAAAAGCCCACAATTTTAATTTTAGAATTTTAGGGTTTCATTTTAGAAGCCCAGAATAAAGAAAAGCCCGATAAAACGAAACCCCTTAATTGAACAAAGTGTATATAAAAACCCAGCCACTTTGACATTAGGGTTTTTCTCTGAGCTTTAAAGCAGTAAGGGAGAGAGAGAGAGCGCAGCAGCTGCTTGCACAAACCCTCAAACCCCCTCTCTCATTCATCAACCATGGCCGTCGGGTACTCCTTCTTTCTCTCTCCTCCTCCATTTCTCCTTCTCTCTCTTTCCTCCATTGTTGCAGTTTCTGATACCTTCATTCTGCTGTTTGTTCTCTTTTTTGCAGGAAGAACAAGAGGATTTCCAAGGGTAAGAAGGGAGGCAAGAAGAAAGCGTATGTTCGACGAACCCTAATTTTATTTCAATTTCTGTTATTTCGATTGTTTTTTTTTGATGTGATTTTTGTTGATGATGTTGTGATTGTTTGATGCAGTTCGGATCCATTTGCTAAGAAGGATTGGTATGATATCAAGGCTCCTTCTATCTTCAACATTAGGAATGTTGGCAAAACCCTAGTTACCCGTACTCAGGGTACCAAGGTCAGTTTTCTATCTCTCAATTTGGGGATTAATTGATTTATTTAATTTATGTGATACGGAGTATAATCAGAAATTTAATGGTTTATACAATGATATTATTTGATGAATTTTCTGTTATTTTAATCTTATAATTAAATTAGTATAAAGTCCATTAAATGCAACATGATAAGTTCTTATGCAAATTGATTATGCAAATTGATGCAGTGAACTGTAATTGTCTTTTAGGTTTGTTTATATATTTGATCCTATGATGTAATGTGGTGAAATTTTTATTCTTTGTTCAATTGTGTAATTTTTCTGGATTAATGTGCTTGATGTATTTGTCTTCTGAATGTCTCGTTTTTGTATAGAGTGACATGTGGAAATGTCATTTAGTTATTCCTGAGCTGCGTTGGTGCTTCGAACCCCTTTAAGTTAGGTTAATTTTGCAATTAGGGGATTAACCAGGAATTCCAAGAAATGAATTAAAGTACTGTTATCAGATGAAGAGGTAATTAATTTTGCAAAAAGAAATGATTAAGTAGTGTTATGGTTTAAACTCTGTTGAATTGCCATTGAAAACTCATGTTGGTTTATAGAATGCCGGTTTAAATCTCAAGTATTTGTGTATGAGCTTAGTGTAATGAACAATTTCAAGTATTATGCATTTACGTTTTTTGGTTACTAAGATCTATTTTGCTTTTTGTCACGTGGCTAATTGAATGTCATTTGTTAAACCTTAGATTGCATCTGAAGGTCTCAAGCACAGAGTGTTTGAAATTTCATTGGCTGATCTTCAAAATGATGAGGATCAATTCTTCAGGAAGATCCGTCTCAGAGCTGAGGATGTTCAGGGCCGTAATGTGCTCACTAACTTCTGGGTACATATTTACCATTTTAAATTATGTACTGTCTTATGCGTACCTCTGTTCTATTAGAAAAGTAGAGGATTCTAACGAGTGATGATTATATTTAACTATCTAGGGTATGGACTTCACCACAGACAAGTTGAGGTCCCTTGTTCGCAAGTGGCAAACTTTGATTGAGGCTCATGTTGATGTCAAGACCACTGACAACTTCACCCTGCGTATGTTCTGTATTGCCTTCACAAAGAGGCGCCCTAACCAGGTCAAGAGGACCACCTATGCTCAGTCTAGCCAGATCCGCCAGGTTGGTTATTGCTATGATTGGTTTCTCCTAATACATATTCTCACTTAACTAGATATTTACAAGTAATGAATGTGGCAATCTTTTGTGCAGATCCGCCGCAAGATGCGTGAGATCATGGTCAACCAGGCTAGCTCTTGTGATCTTAAGGATCTTGTTGCTAAATTCATCCCTGAGTCTATTGGCAAGGAGATTGAAAAGGCTACAACTGGTATCTACCCCCTGCAAAACGTGTACATCAGGAAGGTTAAAATCCTCAAGGCCCCCAAATTCGATCTTGGAAAATTGATGGAGGTAAGTCATTACTCTGTATTAGTGTTGAAGCAGTTGATCTTGTATCTTTCATTCAACAGTGACTCGAATACTGATTCTAAAATTGATTGCCTGTTTGGCTTGTAGGTTCACGGTGATTACTCTGAGGACGTAGGTGTAAAGCTAGACAGGCCAGCTGAGGAAACTGCTGCTGAGGGTGAGGCCACAGAAGTTGTTGGTGCTTAGACAAAATCTTCTTCATGTTCTAGTAATATAGATGCTGTTTAGCAAACTTTTTTTATGATGAATTTGATTAGTAGAAGTTTTGGAGTGGTATCTTTATGTTAAAGTTGTAAGATGATTTTTCTTGGGAAATTTTTGTGTTTGAACGCCTGTGTTTCCTACCTTGGTATCACAATTCCCATCTCATATATTTATAATTTTGCTTGGGAGTTGTATCTCCTGCATTGCTAATTTAGTATGAATACCAACGTGACAGTCGATATAGATAACGATAACGAGGCTTATTCAGGCGTTCTGTTTATGGTTTTAGGGCTGTTCTACTCTGTAAACCAGTTACAGTTGATCATGTATCTTTCATTCAAAAGTGACTAGCTTTGATGGCCTTGAAGTTAACATTTAGGATGCTATTAGTGTAGTTACATAATGGAATGAATTTGAATCACAGCCTTGTCACTTTATGAGGAGGGTAAATTGATGGGTATAATAAGTTATTCTCAAGTAAATTGTTACTATATCACCCAAACAAAACATACATGCCCTATTACTCCACTGTGACCAATATTAATCCTTGTCTCTCTTGGCTTCTACTTATTGTCAGTTGCAGCATCCATCGTCACACCCTACAACTTACCTCAAGTATTGTGTAGTTTCTATTCATTGATATTATCTGGTTATCGGATTTCATATTGTTGCGAAATAGTGGAGTATATTAGTGTCTGATTTCGGTGCTTGATTTATCTCACTTATGCTCGTATCATTTGTATGGCCAATCTATTCCTATCTTGGTTGGATTTTACTGCTAATGTATCACTAATCGATTAGAAAACCTGAAAGATTGAAAAGTTTCTTATTGGGCTCAAGCAACCTGTGTTACTTATTATGCTCTCGAGTTTTGTTCGACTCTTTTTGGAACTTACATTAGAAATTTCATTGGTTCAGTACACTTGCAGGGCCCAAGTTTAATTAATAAATATGTATATGCTTACATTAATACTACGGAGTATCTTTTATGCTTCATCTTTCAAGTCTGACGCTGTAAATTTATGATTTGGACTAATAAGAAAGCCTTTACTCAATATAATGTAATAAAATAGAGTGAACTAAACATAGCCTAAGTGAATTAGTTGTGGTTTGGCGAATAATCCGGGAACATGTTGGTTTGGAGATTGCAGATAATTGGTGAATAATTGAACTAAACATAGCCTAACTTGATGTATATAAATGAGCTTCTATGGTTTCACTGATTGAGCAGTCTAAATTACCAACAGGTATACCTGAACTATCTACTATCTAGCACCCACTCACAAGAATAAGATTGCAATACCAGTTTGGCAGGTATCTGCTAATAAGAGTACTAACTTTGCTGCCTTTGCAGCAGCAACATTATGATATCAGGATAGCTTTCTGATCATGATTAGCTGGCTTGAATTAAACTTAAACATGTTCATCTTCTCCGTGAGTCTGACTGTGTTGTTAGAATGGTCCAAAGTTGTATGTAGGATGAGTGTACAGATGCTTAGGTATAAACAGAGAGATGTATGAATGTATCTTTATGTTAATATAATAACATGTTCCACTTGGGCCGCGTAAATTAATGTGGAGTACTAATCTAGGATGCAAGTCAGAAAAGTCAATTATCAAATGGATCTAAGCCGGAGCCATCAATAAAGGCCAATTTGCCTTTCTCGATCGTGAATTCTTAGATCTTAATTTTAAACTACCTGTTAAGGGTATCTAGACTGTAATATTGTAGTATGTTGCAGTAGAATTTTTCTTCCCAACGTAAACTAAGCTATAAAATGTAAAATGCGCACCTGTTAATTAGTTTACCACGAACCAGCATGTCCAGATGTGCTTCTTTTACTAGATCCCTTCATCCTTTTCCAACTTGATTCTCCTATGTATTCTGATTTTATACTGTAAGGATGCCTTGCAAGTGGCTATTTGCTGCTTAGATGAGCACTGTATTTTTGCTTGTGTCATATGTCATGTAGTTGCAAAATGTATTTTCTTCAGCTCACTAGCCATCCCTTATTGTCTGAGCATTTTGATACGAATATTTATCCCGTGTCCTTGTATCTCTTGCTACTATGTGGTAATCATTGCAATCTCTACTATATTCTGTACCCATAACAACCTAGCTCACTTACCTTTCGGAACTTAAATGAGAAGATTGAAGCTAGGAGAGATAATACGAGAATGTTTGCTGTAAACCAAATAAAAAAAGGCTGCATAATCATTCTCAAGAAGTTACCAGGCAATGTGAACGTATTAATCTTTGCTGCTTCTTTTGGAATCATTATTATTTTAGCTAAATGTTGTCTTGCATAAGCTCAATTATGAAAGATGAATATGATCGTTCTTTGAAATTTCGAAGTTTTTACAGGTTCAATTTCGAGGTTTAGATGCATTTTGAGTTGTTACATTATGGCTGGGTCAATTTTCATGAGATATAAAATTTGAAATCTGTTAACCAGGTCAGAATCTCATTGTCAAGTAAATTATAGTCGAGAATACATTCTTATTAACAACACTATTAAGCTTCATCTTATTTATAAAATGACATTGATTGATTTACCTTAATTTATCAATTACGAATCTAAATGCTTATGCCATTTAAGTCTTTCAGTCGTGTTATCCTATTATACTTTGGAGACTGCTTACAAGATCAACAAGGACAGAGTTTAATACCACTTCTGATATCCAAGCTTTAAAAGATCTCGATTGTAGTGCGTTGTCATCTTCAAAAGAAAGGTTCACATACCCATCCAGTTTCTTAGAAAGATAAGATGAAGCCTTTAGAAGAAGATATGTGAAGTCAGTTTGGTTGAATCCACATGTAAAGCTAGACAGGCCAGCCGAAGAAACTGTTGCTGATGGTGATGCCACAGAAGTTGTTGGTGCTTAGACAATTTTCTTGATGTTTTAGTAATATAGACGCTGTTTAGCAAACTTTTTTAATGATGAATTTGATTAGTAGAAATTTTGCAGTGGTATCTTTTTGTTAAGAGTAGTAAGATGATTTGGGAAAATGTTTTATGTTTGAACTTTGAACGCCTCTGTTTCCTGTCTATAACGAGAGACAAGCCCAAAAGAAAAGGGATAGTATCTGCTAGCCCATACAAGAGTAAAATTAGACCCAAAAAATTATAGGTAAACAAACAAAGTGACTAAAGCAATTAAGAGATAATTCCTTAATTAATCGCTTTTGAATTATGGGGTAGAACGCATGATCATAAAATAATAAGGAGGATCATGACCAGATCTCAACCCTTACAGCTTTTTTGGTCCAGTATTTGCGAGCCAGACACTTAAAAGTAGAAGGGAGGCTAAGGGAATCCTTACCCCTAAGTAGCCTCACTTGTTAGGATTCAAACCCATACCTCAGGATATGAGGTAAGAACCTTACCAAGTGAGCCAACACTTTGTTGGTACACAATGATATACAATACGTAGTATTGTAAAATGTAATGTATCACAAATTCACAATGTGTAAGTGTAACATTACTATTACACCCAAAAAAATCAGATTTTTGACTTTTGTTTGACCCTCTTGACTTTGACCGAATGTAAAAGGTTTTTTGGAGTCAGCAAAAGGTCTTTGGGCAAAACTGGTTCAGACATAAAGGGAACTGGGCCGATATCACATAAAGGCCCAATACATAGCGGCTGGTTTAGAAGGCTAATGGTTGTTTTTAATTTTTGAAGAAGTATTGGCGCCAAGAAACATAACCGTACAACAATTATGGGAGTCAGCCATAACCGCTCCATTTCGCCTATAAATAGAAGTGCAAGGATCAAAGGAAATCATCAGCAAATCAATCAACAACAAGCATTTCATTCGTCTTTATCACGTAGCATGTATTAAAGATCGTTCGTCTTTTCCAATTGTATGATCATGGAGGTAACCTCTCCTTCAACTTGTACAATTGTAGAACAGACTCTATCCTTTAATTAATGGAATGCATTTGTATATTTCGTCACATGTTTATCTACTCGTTTCTTTTAGCAATCTAACTTGCATTGTTTTACTTATTTTGGGAAAGCTTCCTTATTGTTTTGTTTTTACACTAGCAAGAATATCAATCTTTGAAACCGGTAACTCGAGGGGCAGCCCCCTAATACTCTAGAACAAGATAGAGTATTTAACTTGTTGGTAAAGAACAATATTTACCTCAACAAGTTTTTTGGCGACCACAGTGGGAGAACACTGACTAAATCCATTTAACTTTGTTAATTTGGAAGTTTTTTTCATGGCTCCTAAGCGTTCAACATGTAAAGGAAAAACTCAGGAAGATGTTAATTCATCTGAACACAATCCTGAGACCATTTTAGAGGATCAACCAGATCTAGAAAATCAACTGCCAATGGAACACATGGCACATTCTTTCGAACCATTTGAGCCTCACATATAGAGGCAAGATGAATCGATTTTAGAAGGAGTAGAAGACCAGTCTCCTACCACACTTACTCAATACAATCTACACTAAATATGTGGATATTGTGAAGAGTCTAATGGAGGATCTAAAAGAAAACAACAGAGAGCAGTTTGATAACTACTATCGTGTCATGGTGGAAGAAACTGCCAAAGTGGTAACGGTCGAGTTGAGAAACTTTGACTCTATTACCCAACAAGAGGTTACCAAACAGGTAGATAGGATTATTCTAGATATTAATGATACTCTGAACGCTAAAAACGTGACATTATCAAAGAGTGTAGCAACCGAAATAGTTACAAGACTTAAACCATTAGTGGAGAAACATAACCAACTTAATGAAAAGTTGATGAATGTTCTAACCGCTTTAGGTGGGGCTTCATTAGGGAAACTTTAATTGGCTTAAATTTTCTGGATTCTCTTGTTAAGCTCATCTTGAGTTGTATTACTACCCCTTCCATTTCCATTTTATGGAATGGTGTAATTACAGAGAGTTTTACACCTTCAAGGGGGGTTAGGCAAGGTGACCCTCTTTCCTCTTATATCTTTGTGTTATGTCTTGAAAGATTATCTCTCATGATTGAGCAAAGAGTACGGAATGGTCAATGGAATCCGATCAAAATTGGTAAGGATGTGAGCATCTCACATCTATTTTATGCGGATGATGTTTTTCTTTTTGCCAAAGGTTCGGTGCACAATGTTGAGATCATTAAGCAAACTCTTTTAGAGTTTGATTCCCTTTCTGGGCTCTTCATTAGTCCTACGAAGTCTAAGGTAATTTTTCCGCCTAAAATGTGTCTTTCCCTTAAGCTTGCCATTCTTAACTCCTCAAATATCAAGGGGGCTCCCTCCTTTGGTAAATACTTAGGAGTTAACATCAGTCCTAATCGTTTGAAAAAATGTGATTATGTTGATCTCCTTAATAAAATCAAGGATATAATTAAGGGTTGGCAAGCAAAATTGCTTAATATGGCCGGAAGAAACACTCTTATTAAGTCGGTACTTAAATCTTACCATCTTTATACTATGCAATCAACCCTCATTCCTTGTGCTATTCTAGATGACATGGAAAGAAGTTGTAGGCGTTTTCTTTGGAATAAGGTGGATAGGTCTCATTATCTTCCTAGGGCTAGTTGGGATAAAGTGTGTCTTTCTTCCGAAATGGGGGTGGGGGGGTGGGAATGCGAATTCTTAAGAATTAGAATCTTGCTTTCATGGCAAAGCTAGGATGGTGCATCATTCATGAGCCGGATAAGCTTTGGGTTAGGATCTTAAATGCTAGATACTTTTCTAAGTCCACCTTTCTCAATAGTATTCCTAGTTCTAGGGATTCTCCTCTTTGGAGGGATATCGATCTTAAAAGGAAAGGAGCTTTTTTTAAAGGGCATTTCTTATAGAATAGGGAATGGTGAGGATATTTGCCTTTGGTACCATCACTGGGTGGGAAGTAAGCCTATGTACCTTGCTATTAACGCTCCTATACCGGATTCCATTGCACATTGGAGAGTTAGTAATATTATTTTGAATGGGGAATGAAACACTAGTAGAATCAGACACATTATCCCACACTACCTTCGTGAGCTCATTGAGAGTATCCCTCTTCCTAAGTTTGCTACGGTCAATGATACCTTATGTTGGGGAGTGGAGTCTAATGGCCAATTTTCAGTAAAAAGCGCTTACAATCTTTGCTCTAACTTCACACCTCATCCTATTTCTCCTTGCATCCGTTTGGAAAAAAATTTGGCACCTTCTTTTTCCTTACAAATATAAAGTGCTTATGTGGAATCTAAGTCACCAAATCTTGCCCGTGGGTACTGTTTTGGCTATGAGGATTGATAATTTTGATCCTAATTGTACTAGGTGAAACTTAGAAAATGAAAACCTTCTTCACCTATTTTAGGATTGCATAAATTCGAGAACTCTTTGGTCTAGAATTTTTGGAGGTAATAAGATGGATAAAGAGTTTAATTATCACACTTTCTTTAATGTTGATTGGGAAAGTTGGATTAATTATAACTTAGGCCTTAGCGAAAATTGGAAGACAATTTTTGCTATTGCTCTTTGGCACATTTGGAGGGCAAGGAATTTCACGGTTTTTCAAAAGGCTATGCCTCACCCCGTTACTATGTTTAATAGATATATGGTGGATTCGGTAGCAAATATTAACACCTTTCAGGGAAATATAAAGGCTCAAGCATCTTTGAGAGACAAAGCAAGGTGGGAAAGACCAAGGGGACAAACTATCAAAGTTAACATAGACGGCTCTTGGAGGAATGATGGCAGAGTTGGTGCTGGAGCAATTGTAAGAGGCTCAGATGGTGGCTGGTTCTTCGGCAAGTCATGGAAGACCAAGGCACGTAATCCTGCTGAGGCTGAGCTCCTTGCAATCAGAGGGGGTATGCAAATGGTGATTGATGCGGGGCTTAAAGATGCAATCATAGAGACGGACGCTCAAACTCTCAAAAGCACCTTACAAGATGTGGGAAAGCAAGGCACACACGAACTTTCTGCCATCCTCAAGGATGTTCAGGTATTGCTGAACAAAGGTTGTGACTTCGAGTTTAATTATGCTGATAGGGAAGCCAACAATGCGGCACATTACTTAGCAAAGTTGGCTGTGGAGATGGATGACTATATGAAGCTATATGACGAACCTTCTACAAGTGTCAAGGATGTCTATGAAGTTGATCGTGTGCAGAGTGCAATATAGCTTGCCGGGGATGGGGGGTATCTTTATCTTACCTAATAGTTGCAGTAGGTGTAATCTGGTATTTTGGGTTTCTGTTTGTAGTTGGTGGTATGGTGGCAGCAGCCATTTTCTTCCTTCTTGGCATAGACTGTCTTTGAACCATGAAGACGAGGTTGTGTTTTGGTTGCATATTGAACTAGTGCATGTTGATGTATTTGGTGAACTATAATTTTTAATATTAAGTTTCTTTCTGCCTTAAAAAAAATATTTATCAAATTAATATGTTTAATGGCGTAAAGTTTAAAGTGATAATAAATAACCTAATACTTTTAAAACATACTTCATACTTTATAATTAAATCACATGGCTTTCTAAAAAAAGCTAAGTTTTCCATGTTACGTAGTGAGGAGTAGTAGCTAGAAATTTGAGTGAAATTAAAATAAAAACAATATGTTTTCTAACTTTTTTTTCATTAAGTAAACATGTGCTGTTGTTTAAAAAAATAAAATAAAAAATAAAAGTAAATATGTGCAGTGTTTGCGCGTCACATGGTACGATATACTTTATTTTATAATTACGATACCAAATCAATAATTTATATACTATGCTTGGAAAGCTTTTTACTAAGTAGGACTTTATTATAATACTCGGTAACACCTTCAAGTTATATGTGATTCTTGACTTGCATGGGAACCAATATTTTATGTTTATTCTTATAAGATGCATATTGGTTCACAAATTTGTATGGGAATCCGGAATGGAGGTAGAAGACATTGGTCTAGAAATTTGCATGGGCGTCTGGCGTGGCTCCATGGGTTTGGAATATAACTGTTAATATATAATATAGTACATGAATTTATTTATTTTTCTATACGAGTCAAACTCACCTTTTCTTTCCCAACCCAATTTCTAAATCTTTGCGGAGAGTTTTAAATAATAGAGGTGTAAAAAACTAACCCGACTTGACTTTAAAGTAGCCCAATTTAAATTTCGACTTATATGGACATAATGACTTAGTATGATTCAAACATAAACTAAACCCGATTTCACATAACTAGACCTTACCGAACTTGACCTAATATTCTAAATTGAAATAATTTTGAGGTATGGATTCAAATTTTTTTAAATTATCACCAACACACGTGTATGTTATGGGTTTGGACCATACCCCATACTTATATTTTGTGAGTCAAACACACTCTAAGTATCAATGTCATAACAAGTGGGGTTATTATTACAATATGTGAATTGTTGTAAAATTCGTTCCTTGTAATATTTAGAGAGGATTGGAATATATATGTGCACCCAAAAAGAATATTACACATATAGATAAAGAACACAGGCCAAAAAAGAACATTAAATACATTTACAAAGAACGCGAGCATCATATGTTCTTTGAGTTTGATCCTTATGTTCTTTGGGTATGAATTATATGTTCATTAAATTATAAACTATGCTCTTTAATATATGTAGATGAAAATATTCTTTGGGTTTCAATAATATAAAGTGTGATCTTTTACTTGAATAATATTTTCTTCTATGCTCATATTTGTTTATTATTCTGTATGTTCTTTTGGGTAGAAATTCTAGAATAGACCTGGTGCACAATAACTTATTGTGCACCCAGCCATTTAGTATATCATACAAAATAAGATTATACCATACGAAATGTAATTATATCATTTCAAAAGTGATTATATCATCCAAAAACTAATTATGTAAATGTATCATTTAAAAAGTAAATTTACCATTAAAAAAAATCAAACAATAATTATATCATTTGAAAGATAATTATATCATCCAAAATATAATTATATCATTTGACTAAATTGTTTAAAGTACGACTATATTATTCAAAATATGACTCACAACAAGATAATTATATCGTCTAAAAAAGTGGTTATATCATCCAGAATATGACTATATTATTTGAGCGTGTCAAATATTGGTTCTACAATAATTTATTGTACACCGGGTCCACAAGACCTTCCCTCTTTTGGGTATCATATTTGTTTTATCATTGTGTTATTTTCTTTTATCCCTTATGTTTTTCAAAATTCTTTTCTTATTGTTAAGTTTGTATGTGTTTTAGTGTTTACATACGTTTTTGAATTTATCTCTTTTTTTTTTTTTATTTAACCCTTTATCTTAAATATCATTTATTAGTTCTATATTTTTTGTGTATTGATTATCATCTAATTGTGTATATATAATTCCTTAAATCAGGATTATGAAGATTGATGATGACGTTATTCTTTTATGACTCCTCTACTGTTGATTGGTTTTCATATTTAAAGAACATTTGTAATACTAATAAAAAAGATGATGCTATTATGTAATGTATATTATTTAGTTTATATTTACCTAACATGATCCAAAAGCCAAAATTCAAAAAAAATTTAAGAATAAGTAATGAATATTATGTGACTATAAAAGTACATTACTATTAGTCTATTACAATAAAAAAATATAGACATTTAAATTAGTTTATCAAGAGATCCAATAAAGATCGTAATATGATATAATAATAATAATGAATATATGGAAAGAGCATAGTGTTGATTTTTTTGTAATTTACAAACAAATATAAAGTACATCATGTTTTATGTAAAGAACATTATTAAATTATATAATGAACATCACAAGATATACACATGACCATTATTAAGATGAATACTGATTAGGGAATTTTTACCCTGCCACATGGACCAATCAGAGTTCACCACGTGGACCAATCAAAGTCCGCCACGTGTCACCCTAAGGAGAGCCCAAAGTGGACCTACTAGGGCTTGACACGTGGCAGACAGATATTTAGAAAGGGTTTGGCAGCCTTCAAGGCCCAAATCCCAAGGCAACCCGTCAGTCCTAGGTTTCTTAACCTAGGACGGGCACACATTTCTAGACCCTATAAAAGGGAGATGTTTCCTCCAGGGAAACACATTCAATTCAATTCACAAACATTCACTAAAAACAGAGCAATCATTAATTGCAGATATTTACCTCTCACCTTAGAGAATACCCACGATCTCGGAATCCGAGAAGATACTTTACTTCCCGCACTTTTTACCTCATCCGAACACGTTCTAACTTGATCATCGGAGGCGGAACTCCACCCAACCGGAGTCTTTGTTATTTTGCAGGTATAGGCGCCCGGAATCCAGTCTTGGAATTGTAACTCTCCCGAGGGACACAGAAAACCCCGAAACATTTGGCGCCGTCTGTGAATATTCTTGCTAAGAAAACAAGTCTTGACTTAGGTGCAATACAATAAGGGGGATAGAGAAGAGCTAAGGTTCTATGTCAGGCGGTTCAATCTGATGAGAATTCAGATTCAAGCGCTCTGATGAAGTGGCCTATACAGACTTCTTCAAAGGTTTGAAGGACGGGTCAACCTTTAAGTTTGACCTCGTCAAAAAGAGGGTTGCTACCCTCCAAGAAGCTCTGATGGAGGCGGACGCCTATATACAGGCGACCGAACTCTGCAACATCAATAAGCAATCGGACTCAAAGAAATTTGACAAAGAAGTGTCGGCAAGCTCAACTGGCCAAAAAAGAGAAAAAGAGAAAAGAAGTGTGGGCGGTTGATGACTCTGAACAACCGTCCCAGAAGAAAAAGAAAGAAAGTAAACCTTACGTCCCAAAGTACGAGTTTAATAAGGACTGCTACTCCATCCTCATGGAGATCAAAGACCGGGTGACCATTGAGAATCCGAATGCTATGAAAGGTTACACCAAGAACTGAAACAAAAATAAGTATTGCCACTTCCATGAGGACATTGGCCATTACACCAACGACTGTTATAGTCTCAAGCGACTATTGGACCGACTGGCTGATAAAGGGGTGCTAAATTCGTATATTCTGAAGTCTAAGGTTACTCTGCAAACTAACCATGGGCAGCCATCCAAAAAGAAGTCCCAACTTGCTAATAGTTCGGACACTGATGAAGAAAATCAATAGCAATCACTGACCGGGGAACAGTCAGATGAACTCCATCCCCATCCGGCCGGTGAACACATTGATATTGCTCTAGACGACACTCATCCAGAGCGAATTATTAAGGTTGGGACGGTTGCTTTTGCGAGTTTGGGTGCAGACTTGCACAATCTGTTGAAAGAATTCAGAGACATCTTTGCCTTTGAAGTGGAAGAGATGCCAGGCATCAACCCGGATCTTGCTATTCACAAACTTGTTGTGGATCCAAAAAAGAAGCCAGTTAGGCAAAAGAAAAGAAACCATGGCGAGGAAAGAAGTTAGGCGGTAGCCGCCGAAGTAAAAAAGCTGTTAGATACTGGGTTCATTCGGCAATGTTACTTCCCAGATTGGGTTGCAAATGTTTTGCTTGTCAAGAAGTCGAATGGTTCCTGGCGCATTTGTGTTTATTACACAGATTTGAACAAGGCATGTCCAAAGGATAGTTATCCTCTTCCAAAGATCGACAGTTTGGTCGACTCTACAGCCGGCCATGCCTTGATGAGTTTTATGGACGCCTACTCAGGCTTTCATCAGATACCCTCGTGTAAGAAAGATCAAGAGAAGACGACATTCGTCAATGATCAAGGGTTATTCTGTTATACTGTGATGTCGTTTCGTTTGAAGAATGCACCTGCTACTTTCCAACGAATGAATAATACAGTCTTCATTAATCAAATTGGAAGGAATGTAGAGGCGTACATTGATGATATGATAGTCAAATCCAAACTACAGACGGATCACCTTGCTGACCTCCGAGAAACATTCGCCACACTCAGGCGGCACAAGGTCATGCTTAATCCTAAGAAGTGTGTCTTTAGTGTTGAGTCTGGGAAGTTTCTCGGATTTCTGATTGATCAAAGGGGGATAGAGGCCAACCCAGAGAAGATACAGGCGGTCATTGACATGAAGTCACCTCGCACTGTAAAGGAAGTTCAAAAAACTAACCGGTTTTTTGGCGGCATTGGGGAGATTCCTCATTTGGTCAGGTGACAAGTTCCTTTATTTCTTCCAAGCCATCAAAAAGAAGACTATGTTTGAATGGGGGGCG